GCCCCCGTTTTTATTTCTGAGTCAGGATAATATGCAGTGAATGTAAAATAGACGCCATTAAGATTTTCGTGCGATGATAAGTTTTGAAAGAAAATCCACTCAGCAAGTGCGCGCGAGGCAAAAGGAGCAAAAAAAAAAAAAAATGAAAGAGAGAAACGTGAACGAGAGAAAGAATGAAAGAAAGAGACAGAGAAAAGAGAGTATGGAGCATAAAAAAGGCCAAGCCTCGCAGCTTCCTTTTTAATTCACCTCTCACAAGAGAGGTCGAAACGTCGCCAATGCGATGGATACCCGCAATATCGACCTGTCACTATACATCGAGTGGCACTCCCAATGGATTACGAATGTTTTCTTAAAGGAAGTGTATCCTCTCTTCGGGCCAGCAATTTGTATTCAAGATAAACTGTTATTGATGTCTTTCGATATATCAGAATCCTTTAAAATGGATGCGCGCGGCAATGTCCCGCGGGGGGTCCATTTTATTTCTTCCAAAATAGATTTAAAAGCCTTTCTATACTTTGTCATTAAATTATTTTATTCAATATAGAAAAAAATTACACTAAAGAAAAATTTATTTTATTCAAAAAATTATTAAATTATTAAATAATTTTTAATTTTTAATTATTAATTATTTAGTTTATTAAATACTTAATTTTAATTATTAAAATTATTTGTTTAAAGTAACCAATTATTTGAATCAAATAAATTTTTTTCCCCTTATTTTTTGTTTGTATTTAATTTTGATAATTTTATAAGAAAATTTTTCTTTCCAGTTAGCAAAGAAAAAAAAACCATACATCCCCCAAGAGAAATTTTATATAACTAAATGAAGAGGAAGTTTAAAGTAAATGTTTAGAATGCCAATATTTCTTTAGCACCTTTGTTTTCCTTCATTTTATCAGTTATAACCGCATAGTACAGCCTCGGGCAAAAGTATATATATATATATAAAAGGGCGCTAATAACTTATGTCTAAGAAGAATGACAATTTATATGCTAAATTTTGAATATGAAATATCGTTACTTTGAGTAGTGGTTTCTCACAGAACATCAACTAATATGAATAATCAAATATTCCCTAAAATTGCTCAATTGGTAGAAAATTTATATCGAATTGAATTATTTACGTAAATTTTGAAAGCGACTAGAAAATCCATTTAACGAGGAGGGAAATTATAAATTTGCATTTAGCCTAATTCGAAATTACTATAGTAATAATAATTATTATAATATATTAATAATAATTACAAAATAATAATTATATTATTATATAATAATTATATAATAATTATATATAATATTATAATTATAATAATGATAATTATTTATTATTATTCTAATATTTCTTATTATATAAGAGAAAAGAATTTTTTTCAGTGAGTTTCCTATCTATAACCTAGTTATCGGTCGATAAAACAGAGAGTGGATTTTACCCGCGAAATTTAAATTCAAAATTAAATCGGCCTAAAGAAATTTTAAATAACTAGCAATTCTAATTAAATGATCTTTACAAACTTTCAATTCAATAAATATTCAATAACTTTAATTTATTGATAAAAATTAATTAATAATATAAATGTAAAAAAAAAATAAAAAAAATAATTAAAAGCTCGATATGAAAATTGGTTAATCGCCAAGATCAAAATATTTAGATAAATTTTTTATATGAAATAAAATTTTTGATAAATATAAGATTTTTCCCAGAGCTACGAAGATACTTTTAGCACTCGAAACTTATGAAATTATTAGTAGTATATCCAGCGTTGAGAACGAAAGTTAAATTAAGAAGTTTGTAGTTTTCTTTTTAACTTTTTTCCTCACAATTTTTTTTTGCGGTCTGTATATATATATATATAAGGAGAGTGAGAGAGAGATATGAGAGTCGTCAAGCAGTAAATGGACAGGAGCCATAAGTCGCGCGACGGGACAAGGGCTGTGGATTATGGAAGATGTCGCAGGAGTGGTGAGCTGTAAACATTCGCCCAACCCCTTCGGCAAACGTCCTTGTCGTAAGTCGTATTACAGTGTTGTGTGTAAGGAGTTCTAGTATATATCCGCAATGCTTCCCCTACATTTACTTGTGTGCATCTATATACACATGAATTTACTTTAGAAACTCAATATAGTATATCGTAAATAAAAACTTTTATTAAAAAAAAAATTTAAATACAGAAAAATTAATTTTCTTGTTGTTAAACACAAAAAAAATATCTAATTCTCACGAAGTTGTATAAAGAGTTCCATTTGTCCGCCATAATAATTTATCTCTCACCTGAGTTGCAACAGTTTCTCCGCAAGAGCGCTAGTGTCGAAGAGTGCTAGTTTAGCGACACTAGCGCTCTTGCGGCGAAACTGTTGCAACTCAGGTGAGAGATAAATTATTACAAATTATTAGTATTTTATTTGTTTACATATTATTAATTACATAATTACAATTATTAATTGATGATAAATTAGTTATAAAATTAGCACGCAGTTGTATTAGGAGCCATTTGTAATAATTTATGTCTCACCTGAGTTGCAACAGTTTCTCCACAAGAGCGCTAGTGTCGAAGAGTGCTAGTTTAGCGACACTAGCGCTCTTGCGGAGAAACTGTTGCAACTCAGGTGAGACATAAATTATTACAAATGGCTCCTAATACAACTGCGTGCTAATTTTATAACTAATTTATCATCAATTAATAATTGTAATTATGTAATTAATAATCTGTAAACAAATAAAAAACTACTCCCACATTAGTGAGGGAAAAATGGTAATTTCAATAAACAATTAAGTGGGAAAATTGAGACCTTAACCCTTTTTTAAAAAAAAATACGGGAAGAAAACTTATGGATGAGTTAGGGATTCGTCTTATTTGATATCGAGGGTTGAAAAACAGATAGAGAGAGAGAGAGAAAGGACCTTCGAGACCTTTAAGCCGCACATGTGAGGGCTCCATATAAGTTATATGTCGCCAAAAGGCTTCATATATACAAGTCTCAGATATTGGATCTATCTGATTTTCAATTATAATCGTAAGTTATCGGTGCGCGAAAAGAGAGCAGGAAAAGAGCGATCGTTGAAAAATGCATGAGATGGATTTGGAGACAAATAGAAAATACCAAGGGTGGTAGTAGGCACCGCAATTTCAATGAGCCCAACTGTTCCTTATTCTCTTTTTTTTTTTTTTGCCCCTTGTGGCTTGACGCGCGCGATGAGACTCGTGTGTGTAAATAATAAATTGAATAACAAACTTTATTTTTTCTAATATCGTCAACTTTTTATATAGGTTAGTTTTTTTTCTTTTCGCCAACTATTCATGGTACAATTTGTTTTTTAGAGGGTTTTTTCTTTGAGGGGGATCTCTCAACACAGCTGTCTTGAGCCAGACGGGGGTCATTCACGGTTCAATTATTTAATTTAATGTCGTAATCTAGTGAAACAAATTTTATAAAAGGAGATCCATGGATTTTTAATGCCATTTCTCCTAGAGTGTGACTTTTATATCTTCACGCATATTAATTTTTTCCGATGGTTTTTTTTCCTTAGATTCTTTTGGAAATTTCAATTCAAATCAGAGAGAAAAATGATTTTTATTTTGAATTTTTTGGTAGGGGATTAATTTTAAATTTTTGGATATATATATAAAGTAAAGATCGCGCAGGGTGAGTTTGATAGTTTTCTCGAGGGGTGGCAGCACGCTTCAACATCAGACTAACATACCTTCGATTGATTAAATTCTCACTTTCCTTTCATTGCGCTAATTTTGTTTTCTAGTAAAATTTGTTTACAAAAAATATTATAAATTCTTTTCTGATTTTTCCACTATAAACCCATCTGAAAAAATTTTTCTCATTTCAGTAGAAAAAAATGTAAATCAACCTCTATTTCTTTTAGACATTATATTTTCACCATTTGTCTAAAAAAAATACGAATGACTTCTTTTTTCCAAACAAGAGAACCAAGGGAGAGGAATCAGTAGCTCACTTTCTCGACGAATGTCACTTTATGTTGAGGTGCATTCATCTAGCAACAATCGAGCATTTAGCTTGATTGCAAAACGCAATGGGGGGAGGCTTGAAATACAAAAGGGCGGACCATTGGTAGAAAGAGAGAAAGAGAAAGAGAAAGCATCGTCTGGTACCTTCAAAAGCAGAGTGAAAACTATGGTGGGACATACGATCTAACTTGGAGAGTTTCGTATTCCTGGATAAGAGAATGATTGTTCGATCGCGGTAAAGTGCGCCCCCTTCTTCTTCACCCCAAAACATTCAATTTGCGCAGTATCGTTTTACGAGCAAGGAATTTTAAGACTGAATAAAGCGACATTCTCTTAAGATCAGGAAGAAAGTCCAAATTTCGTTTTCGCATCTTGAGAACCTGTAATCCAACACCATATCTAACCTTCTCTAAAACGTTCTTTTTTTTCTCTCTTCTTTATATACTGCTTCGCGCGATGGAATTTACTTCTACACGCCAAAAAGTGGATTTAGTGTTAAAAGCAATTCACACGAATATATATATATATATAATACACACACTTTGGATAAATTACTATGCAAATGAGTCGCTTCAAAATATAATTAACTTAAGTTTGTGTTAAATAATGCAATTTTGTATCAAAATTTCCGAGGAGAGAGAACTTATCAAAGTCAAATAAAACTTTTCAAAGTGGTAAATAACATTTATTTATGATTAAAGTTTAAGAGAGAGAGAGAATTTTGGAGCGAACCTGTCACTGGAGTTTGAATGATGAATAATTAGAGTTGGAGACACGTGATGCATCAGTTTAAGTTCCGCGTTCTATGTATATATATATAATATTTAACAACTAATAAACAACACATTTTGTAAGGTTTCAAATTTGGAAGTTCAAAATGCATGGTACGCACTGACTCCCTAGACCTCGGAGTAAGATGTTGTAATGTCAAAAAATACAACTAAATTTTTTGTAATAAAATTTTTCCAAATAAATTAAAATATTTACCTTAATGAATGAATTTTCAGCTTCCAGGAGATTCTTTCAAACTAAATAGCCCTCGGAGATCCCTACTTTCAAATTAAATTTCCATTTGGAGAATGTGAAAAATAACCGTCAAAATAGACCGAGATCTAAAAAGTCTGAAAGTGAAGAATTCGATGTCCTTTTTTACTTTTGCCCTTGTCTTTGAAGTACGTGACACCACAAGCCATCCAGGATAGAATCTGCAAAAAAGAAAAATTAAATTACAGTCAGCGCTGTACTAACATGTAGTTAAATCTTAAACCGGTCGGTAATATAGAAATCTATAAAAAATTTCATTTCCAAATTTGACAGAAGCAACTGTGGCATTGAGACTAAATCTAAAATAATCGATTAACAAAAAAAATTTTGAAATTATGAGAACTTTGTCACGTTCAATAAATCAAAGGCAGATTTTTCTATTGATTTTGCAATTGTATGCTTTTAGATTATTAAAATCGTAGAAATAAATTTTTGATTTTGGTATTAAAATCAAAAACAAAAAGAAGAGTTTGATTATACGATTTTCTTAATCCAAAAGCACTTCCAAAAATCCACAGTTAAATTTGAAATATTTTAACTTTTGGTTTAATTTTTTTCAGGCTGAAAAAAAAAATTCGATTTTTGTTGTAACAGAAATGGGCGTAAGTGCAATTAGGTTAATAAAATCAAAGTAGCCCAAGACGCTGCGAGCGGACACGTTTCGTAATGAGTGGTTGGGTTCACTTGTAGAAGAGACTCGAGTGCCAGTATTAGCAGAGGTTAACCTCAAAGTTCCGCACTGAATGCTCTTTCCCAGGGAGCCCGTCTTTACAACAAAGGGAACAGTAGTATACCTTAATTTCCTTCGAGAACCTACCCTTCCCCCCTCAACCAAAAAGAAATTTAATTTCACTTGAAAGACTTCTGTTAACTTTTAGTTTTACAAATATTTGTTGTCCCTGGTAGTACAATTTTTTTTTACATACGGTCACCTCTTTCTCTTTCATCAAAAATGCTTTCATAATCGTTTCTTTCAATTGGGAGGATATTTTTCCTTTTTTGTTTTTTTTTTGAAAGAGTAGTTGTAATAAACCTCTGACATTAATAAACAATGAAGAGACTTGTATTTTTCCTGTTACTTTGGCTTCTAAATAACGTGAGGAGGAAAAAAAAAGTAAAAGCAACCAAGGGCTGAGAGGGCAATAAAATCCCCTCTTTATATATATGAACCTTCATAGAAGAGTTTCCGCTCGTAGATGAGAGAGAAGGAGTGAGAGGGAAAGAGCGAGAGAGAGAGAGAGATAAGAAATTAAATATTAATTTCACAGTGAAAAGCGACGGGTTCCCATTGCCTATGCCAACGTAAAATCCGCGTATCTTGCTAACATTGGCGCCGAATCGAAAAAAAAAATTGAATTTTACATTAACTGTTCAGGAAAAAAAAACTGGATCCCATCTCTACGCTCTAGTTTTTTTATTCGTATTTGAATTATTTCCATAAAAAAATCGCTGTTTAATTAACCTTATATTACCATTATTATCATTATTATCATAATTATTACCATTATCATTATTATCATTACTATCATCAATAAGAGAATATTCTTCAAAAATTTTAAAAATTATATTTTTTTTGAATTGTAAATTTTTTTTCAAAAAATGCTACTGAAGAATAGAGAGTAGTCTCATAACAATGAATTCAATATTGTATTCTAAACTTTTATAACTTTTAACTCAATGTCGATAATATCAGGACAGTCATATATGATTGATGTGATGCATTTAGAATGAAGAATATAAAAAAAAATCTATTTCCGGGCATTGATAGTTAATAGTTTTTTTTTTTTATTTTTTTATTTTTTTCAAAGCCGTTACGAGTGATGCATGTCTCTTCTGTTGTCCATTTCCAATTGTGTGTATATATATACGCAACATTCATTTATACACGCCCAAAGATCGAAACTTTATAAAACTAACATTTGTTGCTGCCATGCCAAATACCATAAGATCTATGTGCCAACATAAACACTTGTTTTCTTTTCTATTTGTCGTATTTTTTTTTTATCCAAATGATGTACTTTTATGTAAATGTACATTTTTTATCATTACATTTACAGTTTATATAAATATAATATAAAAATTTTTGGAATGTCTGACTAGAATTTACTTTTACTACTGATTACAAATTGGAACTGTTTTGGCTGACTGAAACTTACTGTTACTACTTGTTAAATTTTCTAAAACTTTTAACTTTTTTGCCTGATTAAACTGACTTTTACCACTGAAAATAAATTTACAAGAATGACTGTTTTAATTTTTAATTCTTGTAAATTTATTTTCAGTGGTAAAAGTCAGTTTAATCAGGCAAAAAAGTTGAAAGTTTTAGAAAATTTAACAAGTAGTAACAGTAAGTTTCAGTCAGACAGAACAGTTCCAATTTGTAGTCAGTAGTAAAAGTAAATTCTAGTCAGACATTTCAAAATTTTTAAATTTGCTATGAGTAGTAAAATTCAGCTACGGTTACACTTTCCTAATTTCTTATAAGTAGTAAAAGTCATCTATGGTCAGATTTTCCAATTTTTTCAAAATTTAGTCAGTAGTAAAAGTCAGCAGTGGTCAGACATTACAAATTTTTAAAATTCTATGAGTAGTAAAAGTCAGATATGGTCAGACTTTCCAAATTTCCAAAATTTAATAAGTAGTACAATTCAGTTATAGTCAGACTTTTCAGTAATTGTAATTCTTGTATTAGTAGTAAAAGTCCGTGTCAGTTAGACAAAACAGTTCATAGATCTAATAAATTTGATATCAGTAGTAAGTATTACCCCACTTGGAAAGATTCCCCGGAAAGTGCCCCCTGGAGGTTCTATCAGAATTCCGACGGAATTACGCCGGAATTTTCTACATTATTCCGTCGGAATTCCATCGGAGTTCCAAAGAATTTCCGATGGGATTTTGACGAAATTCTGATGGAATTCCGATGGAATTCCGATTAATTTTTTTTTCAAAATTTGTAGAGTCCTAATTCCGTTGGAATTCCGCCAGAATTCCGTCGGAACTCCCTCTGAATCCCATCGGAAATCCTTTGGGACTCCGATGGAATTCCGAAGGAATTATTGGAAGTTCCGGCGGAATTCTGATAGAACCTCCAAGGGGCACTTTGCGGGGAATCTTTCCAAGTGGGACATTTTGTCACAAAAAACTTATTTTTGTAATTTTTATTCCAGTAGTAAAAGTCAGTACTAGTCGGACAAAAATTTATAAATTTTCTGAAAAAAATTGCACTAGTACTAAAAGGTACATTTTAGTAAGACAAAACAGTTCCACTATAGTTTCAGTAATAAAAGTCAATTAAAATCAGCCTTTCCTGGATATTAAATATAAGTAGTAAAAGTCAGTTTTAGTCAGACGATTAAAATTTTAAATTTACCCTCAGTAGTATAGTTCAATTTTAGTCAGACTAATAAATTATCTTGTAAATTTGGTCCTACTAGAAGTAAAAAAAAATTTTTACGTCAGCCAATAATTTCCCAATGGCTTTTAAATTTTCTCCAAGTAGTATAAATAATTTGCAGTCAGACCGTAATTCATGTACTTTTGCACCTAATTAATAACAACAGATTATTATTTTCTCTTCCCTACCAAAAATTATCGAGAATTTACAATTAATATTGTACATTTAGTAGTCAATTTTTAATATGAAAATTTTCAAGTTGACAAATGAAATTACTCATTAAATTCAATATTGAATATATTATGTGAAAAGATTGAAAAAATTAATTAAATCTAAAATTTTTAGCGCGCACAAGTGCTAAATCATTAATTTGCATTTACATATTTAGATATTCCATTATGTGCACTTAAACACAGGATGGTTGAATAAATCTTGCATTAAAAAGGGGTTTCGCTTTGAGAAATTCGATCTGGCGTTTGTAAACTGTCGGCTTAAAACTCGTTGTCTATGACTGCATGCATATTCCCTCTGTGTGTCAGACTGTTAGTCTGACAGCTGTCTATAGATTTTACAATTTACTCTATATATATATATATATATATATATATATATATATATATATATATATATAATAATTACTTTTTAAATTTACATCAAAAAGTGACACGGAAATAAATTTATGTAACAAAATAAAATAGTAAATTCAAATTAAAACAAAACAAATTTTACTTAATTTCTAAAATTTAATTTAATTTAAAATTTCAATAATTATAAAAATTTAATCGGTATTTTATAAACATATTTAAAATTGGATTAAAATTATAATTTAAAAATACGATAAAAATTGTGAGATATTATTTTCAAAAAGCATAGGGAAGAGAGGGGAATATGTGAGAAGCACTATTTAAAGATAACGTTGCGTTTATAGTATACTTGTTCCGCCATATGGGGCTCGTTGAATGATAAGAAATGCCTTTAGTCTCGCGTGTCGCATTATTTTACGTTCTATTTTGAATATTTATAAGGTTTGTCCGTCAGTCGTGAATTTCCATTCTAGAGTCGCGAGAGACTGTCAGAGTAGATTGGTCAAAAAGAAATATAAACTGATCCAACAGAAATATTAACCCCTTCTTTGCTCTCCTATATTATATATATATATATATACCTACGAAAGAAAAACCAAGAAAAATTCCTCTTCACATGCAAAAAATAACAGACTCTCGTCCATTTGAATATTCAATTCTTTTACTTTTTGAGTACATTTAAAATTTTTAATGACAAAGTGAATGTAATGAAAGTTAAATGATAAAATTCATTAATTTTGCAAAAAATAGTTTACTTTTTTATATTTCTCACTATGATAAATAACTTTAAAAAGAAAAATTGATTTTTTAAAAATTTATTTGAAATTTTAACATTTAAATTATGTCATAATAAAAAAATATGTTATCATCAAAATATAATAATGATTGATCAATTTTTTGAAAAATAAAAAAGTATTTTTCAGAAAAATATTTTTGTTAATTTTTATTTTATATCAAAAAGTTGATTTTGTATCTATATATAGAAAAAAAAATTTCCTTTACTCATATATCCAACTCCTTGTATTATTTTCTTTGAAAACATTCACCTCTATCAAGAAGTTATCCATCGCCTTAACACAACTGTATATGTACGTGACCACTCGAGATTTTATTTTCAAACGAATGATACTCCAAACTCTTCGATATAGAAGGACTTTATATTCTCGATTCTCATTGTTTGTATAACGCGATATTTTTTTCAAAATTGTTGATAATAATATTGTTTAAATAATAATATTTTGTTGTTCAAGCTATTTTTGTTAGAAAATTTCAGTTAGAATTTAAATATTTTGTCTAATGTTTAGGTTTCAGTAATAAAAGTCAAATTCAGTTAGACGTGTAATTTTTTTTTTAAAGTTTGGTATAAGTAGTAAAAGTCACTCTTTGTCAGACTTTTAAATTTTTATATTTTAGTCACAGTAGTAAAAGTAAATTCCAGTCAGACATTTTTTAAAAAATTTCAAATTTTGTGTAAGTAGTAAAAGCCAAATTGTCAGGCTTTCAAAATTTTTTATATTTTAGTCTCAGTAGTAAAAGTAAATTTAAATCAGACTATAATTTTTTTTTGTATTAGTAGGAAAAGTCAATCCTAGTCAGACTTTCTAAATTTTTTTTTTTGGCTCAGTAGTAAAAGTAAATTCCAGTCAGACTTTTAACTATTTTTTTTGTTTAAGTAGCAAAATTCAGTAAGCAAATAATTTTATTTTAAAATTTTCAACATTTTTTGGTATAAGTAGTAAAAGTCAGTCTTAGTCAGACTTTAAAAATTTTATATTATAGTCTCAGTAGTAAAAGTAAATTTCAGTCAGATATTTTTTAAAAAAGTAGTAAATTAAATCAGACTCTAATTTTTTTTGTATTAGTAGGAAAAGTCAATCCTAGTCAGACTTTCTTTTTTTTTGGCTCAGTAGTAAAAGTAAATTTAAATCAGACTCTAATTTTTTTTTTGTATTAGTAGGAAAAGTCAATCCTAGTCAGACTTTCTAAATTTTTTTTTTGGCTCAGTAGTAAAAGTAAATTTAAATCAGACTCTAATTTTTTTTTGTATTAGTAGGAAAAGTCAATCCTAGTCAGACTTTCTAAATTTTTTTTTTGGCTCAGTAGTAAAATGAAATTCCAGTCAGACTTTTAACTATTTTTTTTGTTTAAGTAGCAAAATTCAGTCGTAGTAAGCAAATAATTTTATTTTAAAATTTTCAACATTTTTTGGTATAAGTAGTAAAAGTCAGTCATAGTCAGACAAAATATTTCAATCCCCATACTAAAAAAAAACAGTCTTAAAAGAAGAAATCAAAATTATTTCCTCCATTGAAATAATTTTATTTATGATCCTGTTATTTCATCGAATTGACACTGCAATTGTGCCATTTTGATTAATGAGAATAATAATTATGACATGAAGGAAAAAAAGGGATATTTCATAATGGCAAATGATCATAATAATGATAACAATAATAATAATAATTTTAAAACCCATATTGCTTTTTATCGCACATTATTTTCTTCTGTACTCTCTCTCTCTATATATATATATATATCTATGAGGGCTGAATCAGGGATCATTCGTTAAAATTATTCACGGTCACGATATCAACGGTTATGGAAAGGGAACGTGCGGATGCCGACCCATTCTACTCACTTCTAAAGCCCTGCAGGGTGCAACTTTGTGTGCGAAGTGATTAAATTCCGTATGGAAACTCGTGATGCAGTAAGGGGTGTTTTGCCTATATGGTGTTTGTTACCCCTTACATAACAGTAGCATACCATCCAATTTCCAACACTAAAGAAGCAATAATCTCTTCAAATCAAAAATTACAAATATTAACATAAATTTTTGTTTCCCAATGGACCCTGTTTTTTTTTTTGAAATAAAATTGTTCAACTAAAATCGCTAACTTTGTAAAATATTTTCTCAAAATTAATTTGAGAAATTAATGAAAAAAATAGAAACTAAATTTTAGATGAATACTCTAAATAGGATTTAATGTATAGTAGATGCTTTTGGTTGAGAGATACAAGCGTGACGTTGCATATATAGGCTTCGTTGCAACAATGTAATCTCTCAAAGCTCTCTTGGTTTGTGAATGGATCCACCTGCCCGCTCTGTTATTGCCCATATATGTGAGTTCACGGGGCATAGTTCGTCAATTACTCGACAACCCGGATTTAATGCATAACCTAAAGCATTTTGACATGACAATACATTGTGACTTTATGTCCTTCTCATTCAAAAAAAAAATAATCTCCAATAAATAACTTAAAAGAAAATAACTAAACTAAAAATTTCCCCAAAAAAATTGATTCACAAATGAATTTTTTAAGCTTACAACATTTTATAGAAACAAAATCGTTAGGAAAAATAAAAATTATGTAATCAATCTTATAGGCCAATTTTGGAATATGAAATCAAGAGATGATGAGAATAGGGAGATCGTCATCTAGAGTTGCATTTTGAATAATTCAAACACTACTGGTCAACTAATTGTGTTTATGCAAATTTTCTGAATGAAAGGGATTCAATGTTGATTTCCCAAGGATGCACATATGCGTTAATAAGAATAAAAATTGAAAAAATTCAACTCACATTAATATGAAAAATCCTGTGAATCCTCTCCCTTTTTTATATTCGTCCTTATCTTTAAAGTACATGACACCAAAAGCCATCGAGGATAGAATCTGCAAAAAGAAAAATTAATTATCATTTTATTATTTATTTATTTTCTACTTAAACATAAAAAATATATGATGCATTTTTATAACGATATAGATAAATATTTAGATTATATTTCAATGTGAAATAATTTATTAAAAACAATGGAAAAAAATCTATTTTCCTAATTCTCACGTTCAAAATTTTAAAGCATATGCAAGTAACCCTTTCTGTTTTATATATAATATGGACAAGCAAGATCCCTTGCGATTAAAGCCAAACATCACCTCGGTGGGATTATCTAAATTGCTTCGCGAAATGAATTAACGCCTCTCTCTCTCTCTCTCTCTCTTGGTTCTAATGATATCCTTTTTCCTTCCTAACTTAATTCAAGTTCAGTGTAAAGGATCAATCAAGAAATAAACAATTTAATTAATTTTAGTTAATACATTTTATAAATGTAAACAAATTTTATAAAATTAAAATTAATTACACTCAGAAATGGTATATTTGTCTCCGAGCCTATTAACTCATTTATTTGATGCAAATATATTTTATTTCATTGAAATAAAAAATTTATTTGAGCCAAAGAAAAATTTATTTCTGACAAATAAAATTTTTATTTACGCCTAATAAATAAGTTAGTAGGCTCTGAGACAAATATACGTTTATTTAATTCAAATATATTTTATTTGGTTCAAATAAATCATTTCTCTGGGTGTAAATTTAATATTTAATGTTAAATTGTTTTGTCCACTCCTACTGTAATCAAAATAAATTTCTAAAAAGAATAAAAAATATTGTTCGTTACAGTTAGAATGAAAAAAAACATTTAATTCAAATAATCAGTTATTTGACTATATTAAATAAATATTTATTTGAATGGAATATACACTCAGAGAAATGGTATATTTGTCTCCGAACCTACTAATTCATTTATTTGTTGCAAATATATTTTATTTCATTGAAATAAAAAATTTATTTGAGCCAAAGAAAAATTTATTTCTGACAAATAAAATTTTTATTTACGCCTAATAAATAAGTTAGTAGGCTCTGAGACAAATATACGTTTATTTAACTCAAATATATTTTATTTGGTTCAAATAAATCATTTCTCTGCGTGTAGTTATTATATATTTGAGCCAATTAAATATGTATAACCTGTTATATAAAATATTACTTGTTTCAAATACAAAAATTATTCGTTCAATTACAGTTTATTTAATTCAAATAAATATTATTTGGTTCACGTAAATATTAATTTAAAAGTCAAAGAACCAATTATTTGAATCAAATTAATTTTTTTTTGTATAATATAGAAATTTTTAGCTGTCTTAAAAAAATCCTCACAGTTGACAAAATAAAAATTGATATTTATAGTAGTATTTCAAGAATAATTTTTGGAAAATAATTTCAATATTATAAAAGTAAATTTTAAAGTATTGAAAAAATAATTTTCCTTTTAAATTTTTTAAATAATAATAATGTTTGCATAAATTTTTAAAGAAATGCTTTGTATCTTCTTTAAATAAAAATTCAATATAAGATAATAAAAAATTATTTATTAACATATAATCAGAATACAGTGGAACTTTTTTATTAGCACTATCACAGTTTTTATTATTATATAATAATAATAATAATAATAATTATTATTATTATTATTATTATTCAAAATACAGTGGCAAATTTTTCTTAGCACTGTCAAGAGTTTTAATTGTTATTATTTTTTATTATTATTACAAAAACTCTTTAGCTACTTCATAGGCTTTTTGACCGAATTCGACTACGACTTCAACAGCTTTTAAAATTTTCAAAGATTTTAGAAATTTCTTCGATTTTTTTTCACGCTTTTCCAACAATTCAATTTCTTTAGTTTTTAAAATTTCCAGCATACACTGTCGTAATTCGGATGTTTCGGTTTTTTCATTTGAAACACATTTATTGTGTACATCTTCATCTACTTCAATTAGTGGTTTTGCCTCCTCATCTGTTAAATTTAATTCAGAAATCTTTGACGTCAATTCATCTAATTTCTCAATAACAGCTAGAAGAAGTTTTCTTCTTCTCTCACTGTACAATTGAAAAGGAGTTTTAGCTAATACACCAATAAGTTCTGGTAGTTTAACTTTATTTTTTGGAATATTCTTTATAAATTCGATAAGATCTTCTTTTGGTATAGGATTATTTAGATTTAATTCAGCCTCTGATACGGCATCACGTTTAACAATTAAGTGTTGGGAAGGTAGTTCGGCTATCTCCTTTAAAAATTGTTCTAACTGAAAATTTCATTTTATTATAAATAAAATGTTTAGTATTATTTTAGATAATAATATAATTGTGACAATTAAAGAATTTTTGATGCTAGTTGAAAATTTCAATGTGTAATTTTTGATAATATTAATTGTGACGAAAGAATTTTTCATTGAATAAACATTTTATAATATATAAAAAATTAGTTTATGGAAAATAATTTTTAAATAATAGTATAATTATTAATTAATTGTTAACTATTGATTAACAATTTAAAAAAGATTATTTTTTCAAATTTACCTTATCCTCCTCAGAATTATCATCTATGCTTTTTGATAAACAGAAAATATTTAATTGTATCAAAACGAAAAGAAACAGAAAAACTTTTTTAAGGCTTTTCATTTTGAATACAGATATGTTGAAATAGGTTGAGATAGGTTGAAATTATTTCAAAAAAGTGTAACATTAAAACCAAAAATAGTGGAATTTATACAATTTTTTTCTTAAAATTTCCATAATTATCGTAATAAACAATTTGATTAGTATATTAATTACTCTGTCTATTAATTTCCTGTATTTAATTAAACAACTAAATATAAATTAAACATGTAAATTTACATACATATTTTATTCTAATGACATCTTTTATATACAATAACCAAATATTTGTTTTTCCGGAAAAAATTCAAAAAAAAAATTTTTTATCAATTTCTAAACATTGAAAATTGCTGATGCAATACCATGGAATATTTCTTAAATCCCGTGTATAAAATGAAAACTCGTTCTAGCTTGGTCCTATCTATTTTGCCCTACTATTAACTAGGTCCAAATTTGGCATTCTAACTTGGTCCAACAATGGTTTGTGAGGCGATTTTAGCCTGGTCCTAACTTGGGTGCCTAGTTAAAACCAGTTTTAATAATAAATAATAAATAATTCAAAAAATTAATTTTAATTGTTAATACTAACTTTCTAGAAGGAATATCCTGTAAATTTTAAATTAAACTCTGAGAGTTGAATTAAAATTTGAATCCTACGGGTAACGAACCTAATTATATATTTTTATTTGATTTGTCTATATAAATTGTCACTATATTTTTTTAATTCTATTTTACAAAAATTCTTGAAATCATCCAGAACTTTCACTGTAAGTGTTTTATGTTGTCAAATAATGGATTTAAAACATTATATTGCATTGTTTAATTGTTTAAACAATTTATTGTTATTTATATTTACTTTTTTTATAGTGCACCTAGAAAGATGCAGCTTTTTTCTAATTTTACAATAGGAAAAAATACTGCATTTTTCTAGGAAAATTATTATGAAAAATGTTAATAAATAGAAACAATTATTTGTTTAAAGAATTTAACATAATTGTTTTTGCAAATTTAATTCTATATTATATTTTATTTATAACCTTTAAATTAATAACTACTAAAAGAAGGTAACAAATTTATAAAATTGTGCTACTGGGAGTCGATTATGTAATTTGATTTGACTTTGACGTCAAAGTCAAATTGAAATAAAAAATTAAATTTGAATGCTACGTTAAATTGAAATAAAAAATTAAATTTTAATTTAACGTCTAAGTTAAATAAAACAATGAATTTGTTGAATTAAATTTGACATTGACGTTAAAATGAATTTGATTTTGACGTCAAATCAAATTACATAATCGACACCCTGCCTATGTGTATTTAAAAAAAAATATAAATTATGAACAATAAATTGTTTAAACAAATAAAAATTCAACAAAATATTTTTGAAATATATTATTTGGCAATATATATATATATATATATATATATATATATATATATATATATATATATATATAACAATTAAATAAATTAACAAATATAACTATGGAAAAATGTCATTAAATTTTTATTGCAAATTAATAAATAATTAAAACCATATAAATAATTATCAATTAATTAAATAAGTATTATTTGAGAATATTTTACAAATGCTAAATTCAATCACTTTTTTTCATAAAAAAATTTTCTAACACTTAACTAGATGTTCTAGCTAAGTCCAAGTTAGGATCAGTCTAGAATATATAAACAGGGGCTGCCAAGGTAGGACCAATGTTGAGCTAACAATCATTTTAGGCATACGTTGGTGATTTCTACACGGGATCCAAAAACAATTTTAAATCCAAAAAATAAAAATCAGGGATTTTTTTTAATATCTCTTTAAAAAAATGTAATTTTAATGTTTACTGTTTTTTTTCCCCTGCAAGTTCGTTTTTAAAGAGCGACATGAACTTTCAGGAACATTAAGTACATTTCATTGAGAAAGACAAATGTGACGTTCTATATAGTCTATATGAACTTCACTGCGCGGCTATTCCAGTGAGTAATAATTAATTTTCAACGTCCTTTCGTGTATTATTCTTTGCCTGTCCGTAGCATGCTCTGAATCAGAGAGAAAGAGAAAGAGATAGGGGGTGGTTGTAACAAAAATGCGATAAAAGTGAAAAATCACAGTCCTACACCGCGAATTATAAATGACTCTTTGGTCATAAAGTGGCGCCAGTGACGAGTCGGGCCTCGAGAAAGGTCGGTGGGGGTACACATCTCTCCGGGTAATGGAATACCCGTAAAAATCTCTCTGATAGAAAAAAAAAAACAAATAGTATAAAAGTCTGCAATGCCGAGAGAGAGAGAGAGAGCTTCTGTAAATTATACTGTCATCCAATGCAATTCAATTCGATACCAATTTTTATCAGGATACTATAATAACTTGTAAAAAAAAAATACTATTATTCTATAAAAAAAATAGAATTTATCACTTGTTTCTATTTTAGCAAATTTTTATTGGAAGAGAATTTTCATTTCATGGAAATTTTATATATTTTTTTTTAATATAAAAAATTAAGTTTTTTATTTAACAATTTAAAAATTTATTTTCCGCCTATATTTCTAAGTATATAAAACAATTGAACAAGAAAATGACATTGAATTGAAAAAAAATTAATTATTTCATTATTTAATAATTATAATTAACAATTAATATTGTTTATTGAAAACAATGCATGCTTAGCATTCAAATTCAACGTCTCATTACACGTAATTATTATTTATAATAAATAATATTTTTATTAAAAATTGTTAATTATTATTATTATTAATTAACGTCATTCGAATATAACATGTGGGTAAATTAACTTTAATTTATATTTAGTAAATATTTAACTTCAAACGAGAAATATGTTTAAAACTATTACAAAGAATAAGTAATTTTAAATAAAATTCTAAATAAATATAAACGTGACGTAAATTAGTATAGACACACCTCTTAACTGCGATGATAAAGATTTGATGGTCAAAATCTTCGTCATCAGTAGTTAAGGGATTAAACTATTGTCTTGAAATATGTTTTAAACTAGTAGAGAGAATAAATAATTTTAAATAAAATTTTAAATAAATATAAACGTGACGTAAATTAGTATAGACACTATTTAAACTATTGTTCCAACTATTGTCTTTTTATGACGTACGTAATGTTCTAACATTGACACAGTTAAAATATTACGTGTGCGTATAAATTAATAAAAATTTAAAAAGTAGAAATAATATGCTAAACAAATTATTTATTAAGATACTTACGTAAATTATTTTAAGAGAAAACTATATAAATCACAGTATTTTGCGTTTTAATATTACAATTTTTTTTTAAATAGTTTCAAACTACCTAAACCTATTTTAACATAACTATATTAAAAATGAAAAGCCTAAGAGAACTTTTGCTGTTTCTTTTCATTCTGATACAATTAAATACTTTCTGTTTATCAAGAAGCACAAATAATCAAAATTCTGAGGAGGAAAAGGTAAATTTTAAAAAAATAAACCCTTCTAACTTTTTTTTATCAACGTTAATCAATAAATAATAATTAACAATTAATTTATAATTTTATGACAAATTTCTATTTCACTGATTTTTTATCCAATAAAATTTTATCAATTAATTTTTTTTTTTAACTGAATTTTCATTTATTGGAATTATTATTTAATAATTACTTTTTCATCAACTAATTTTTTAAATATTATAAAAGTTTTACTCAATTTAAAATTCTTTCGTTACAATTAATATTTATCAAAAATTACACATTGAAATTTTCAACTAGCATAGAAAATTCTTTAATTGTCACAATTATATAATTATCTAAATTTTATCACACATTTATTTTCATAATAAAATAATATTTTCAGCTAGACCAATTTTTGAAGGGGATAGTCGAACTACCTTCTCATCATTATAATGTGAAACGTGCTGCCAAATCATATCCAATTAATTCTTTATATAAAGTAGATTTGTCTAAATCTCTATCAGATCTTGCTGGTGTATTAGCTGAAACTCCTTATCAATTGTCCAGTGAGAGAAGAAGAAAACGTCTTCTAGTTATTATGGAGAATTTAGATGAATTGGAGTCAAAGTTTTATCAATTACATTTTTTGACAGATGAGGAAATACCACTAATTGAAGTAGATGAAGCTGCTTATAATTTTTGTATTTCAACAAAAAAACCTAAAACATTCAAACTACGGAAGTGTATGTTGAAAATTTTAAAAATTAAAAGAAATAAATTGTTAGAATTGTATAAAAAAAATTCGAAGAAATACGAAGACTCATTGAATATGTTGAATAAAGTGGAAAGTGGAGTCTATTACGCTAAAAACGTATTTGACGTATTTAAACCGTATTTTAAATTATTTTAAAAGAAAAAATAAAAAAAAAATAATAATAATAATATTAATAATAATGTAAACTTTTGAAAGTGTTAATAAGAATTTGTCACTGAATTTTGATTATATATTAATAAATTATATTTTATCATCTTATATTGATTTTTTATTTAAAAAAAAAAAAACAAAGAAGAAAGAAATTATACAAACATTACACGGAAAATATATTCACCTGGAACAGCGATAAGTTTCACTGGAACAGCGATATATATTCACGTGAAAGTTTTAGCTATTCTAAAGAAACATATCGCTTTTCCAGATAAAGATTTTTTCCGTGTACTATTAATAAATAAAAAAAAAAAAAAAAAAAAAAAAAAAAAAAAAAAAAAAAATTAAAAGAAAAATTATTATTTCAATCTTTTAAAATTTACTTTTATACACTGAAAATAAAAAAATTATTTGATTCAACTACTCGATTACTTGACTATTATCAAATAAATAATTTTTTTGTAACAAATAAATAATTATTTATATAAATAAATAATTTTATAAAATAAATAATTATTTGTATCAAATAATTATTATTTGAATCAATTAAATGGTATTTATTTCAAATACAGAAATTATTGGTTCAAATACAATTTATTTAATTTAATTAAAAATTATTTGGTTCAAGTAAATATTTATTTGATAATAATCACTCAAGTAATTGAGTATTTATATCAAATAAATTGTTTTTGCAGTGTAATATTAAAATTATTCCCCACTGAAAGATAATAATAATAATACAAAAACCGTTGCCAAGTTAAAGTATGAACTTTTTATGTTCATAAAATGAAGACTTTGCTTCACCATGGAGATTTTTTGTGATCAATTTATGATAACTTATTTAGTATTATAATAATTTTAAAATGGTGGTAAGTTATATTTTTGGAGAGATAGATTTTTAACATCAATAAGTTTGTAATATTTTACAATAAAAGGTTCAATAATAGATCAATTGTGTCGTTTTTAAAAAATTCTCCAAGTTATTTATAATATTTTTAAAGATACATAAAGATTTTTTAATAAATAATGCAAGAAAGGTAAATTTTAAAAAATTTTCAATTTGAAAAAATAACTCTGGATAAAATATCACTAGGATATTCACTAAAATAGGTCAAAAAGATGCATCTTAAAAAAACTCTACAAAATTAAAGAAAAATATTTATAGGTGTCCTAACATTTTTTTTTAAATTATGGGCAAAACACGATTTAAAAAAAAAATTTTTAATTCAAAAAAAATAATAGTTAATTTTTATTAATATGGCTCAAAGTACTCTCATTATTTGTCCGCCAGTGAGACCTACAATTTAAAAAAAAAATTTATCCCTTTAGCTCTTATAGTATTCGAGATATTTAAGAAAATGAATTTTTGGATTCCTGAGGTCAAAAAACATAAAAATACATCAAAAAATCGAGTTCGAAAAATTTCGGTATTACAATGCTTCCTCCATGAGGAAGAAAAATTGAATAGAATTAAAAATATTAAAAAAAATAAAGTTCAAAATAAATTGACTTCTAGTGAACGAATTTTCCCTCAATATATATATATATATATATATAGTATATATGTATAAACGAAATGCAGTTGGTTGTTCTGCTGGTTTTACAAGTCACAAGAGACTCACGCATTTCACTTTAAGTACGATTCACAATATGGCTATCGAGAACTATACAGTATGTAAGTACACATAAGAACATTTATAGATACACAAAAGGGTACAGGAAAGGCTCCTGGCATCAGTTGTAAAGTTGCCATCGCAGAAAGCTTTTTTGTATTTGAAGGGTTACAGTAAAGAAGCGGGGACGAAAGAGCAATGCATTATGCAACAACTGTTTGAAGTTCTCTTTTTACCGCTAAAAACTTGGAAGAAACAAAAGAAATCGCTACATATCAAAAAAAATGGCTATTTCTATTTCATGAATGAACGATTTTTTATTTATATTTTATTTCCTATAAAAATTAGAATTATATAATATAAATTCTATAATAGGAAATAAAATAATAAAATTTTTTATAAAAATGAAAATTTTTTTAAACTTGTAAAATTACATTTAGCGAATAAAATAAACATTTTACTTAAGTTTTATATATGCAAAATAAAGTATACATAAGAATCCTTTTAAAATGAAATAATGTAAGGCATTAAGAGAGTCTCATGAGAGACACACCTTGGTCCCAAACCTTCCTTCTCTTCTTTCACTTAAAATATCGCTGTAATTATGCCGTACATCATAAATGTTATTATGAAACTAGGGAAGCAGAATTAGAAGGATTACAAGGCTTTTTCCCGGGTAGATTTTGTTTCTTTTAGCATATAATGCTATACTAAAGATAATTTATCCTATTTAGAAAATCTAATTTTTAAAAATTAGCCTCAAAATTTCTTTTATTAAAAATTTTTTTTCTATAATTTCTAAAGAAACAGAAAAGACCCAAAAAGAACTGAGAAAGAAATAATCATTTTCAAGATCACGTTTCTCCTAAAGAGGATATCGATTCGCTAGTGCACTTAGGGCACTTATTAGCTGGGAGAGTACAATGTTTTCCTTCGTTCTTATATATGTCTAAAGTAAAGAAGCGAAAAAAGAAAAAAAAAGGGAAAAAAAAATAGAAGAAAGGGTGTAAGGTGAGGGTCACGTATAATCTAATTTGCCGACACTTGTAGGCGCCAATGTACACCTCTGACCCTGTCAGTCCTTATATACATACATGTACACCCTGACTATCTTCTCCAAAGTGCTCGAAGCGTTGGAAAGCATGTATGCGCACATGCCTGAGACAGAGAGCAAGCACTCACAACGAAATACACATTAGTTCAAAAGTCACTTCCCTCAGAATGCGTCATATTTTATTTTAAATCCAACCACAGCTTTAACAATTAAAAAAAAATCACTTGTACAACATTTTATTCTCATGTTTATATAACATTGCCTACTTATGTGTGATTAAATGCCGCCTAACAATGAATTAAATATGAAATAAATTCTTTGCAAATTTTTCATGAATAAAATACCGAGGATATATTTTTTTTTTATTTGTACAGAAAACAAAAAAAAATTAATAAAAAAATAGAAAAATATTGATAAATAAAGTATAAAAATACCTGCTCTCTAAATCTGAATTAGTAAAAATGTTTACTAATTTAAATTAATGACTCACTTTTTGCTTTAGAATTAGTAAAATTTTACTAATTATTAGTAAAATTTTACTCACTTTTTGCTTTAGAATTAGTTAAATTTTACTAATAATTAGTAAAATTTTACTCACTTTTTGCTTTAGAATTAGTTAAATTTTACTAATAATTAGTAAAATTTTACTAATTCAGAAGCAAAAAGTGAGTCACTAATTCAAATTAGTAGACATTTTTACTAATTCAGATTTAGAGAGTGCAATTATCGAAAATAAAAAATTATTTTTTTGCAACACTGTACATTTGATTCTATAGGTAAAGGTAAATTTCTTTACCGACACTTGATATTCAAAACATTCAAATCTTTAAAGGAAAAAATTATTATTTTATTTATTGTATTATTGTGATTATATTTATTTTTATATTATTTCCTTTTTTAGAAATAGAAATTTTTAATTAGTAAATTAGTCGGTAAAGAAGTTTACTTTTACCTACAGAATTACCTGTACAGTGTTGCACTGACACACCCAGAGAAAAGATTTCTTTGATTTAAAGAAACCATTATTTTAACGGTTTTTCTTTCATTAAAAATAAAATTTTCTTTGGAAACAAAAAAAGCTTCTTAGTTTCATAAAAAATTTGTTAGATTCAAAAAAATTTTCTTTGAATAAAAGAAATTTTTGCATTAAATTAAAGAAATTCTAATCTTGCTAAAGTGAAAAAAAATTTATTTGATTCAAATAATCGGTTACTTTATTATCAAATAAATATTTATTTGTATCAAATAATTATTATTTTACAGTCAATTAAATGGTATTTGTTTGAAATACAAAAATTATTGGTTCAAATAAAATTTATTTAATTCAAATAAAAATTATTTAGTTCAAATAAATATTTACTTGATAATAATCAAGTAATCAAGTATTTGAATCAAAAAAAAATTTTTTTTCAGTGTATTAGGATCAAAGTAAAAATTAATATGAATTAAATAAAAAAATTGATGAAGATAATTTTTTTTTTAATTCAAAGATAATTTGTTTGAAACAAATAAATTTTCTTTGTATCAAAGAAAAATTTTTCAACGTTTATTTCATTAAATCAAAAAAATCTTTCTTCTCGATGCAAAGTGGTATTTCACAAAACTCGTTGCTTTTGTCAATTACAGATACTTTAATACTTTATTTATCGATATTCATCTATTATTAATTTTTTAAGTTTTCTGCAACATAACCTAAAACTAAAAAATTTAGTAATAATAATAATGATTAATAATAAAAATAAAATAAATAATAAAATTTTAGTAATAATAATTATTAATAATTATTTTATTATAATAATTATTAATTATTATTTTATTATAATAATTATTAATTATTATTAATAATTAACCATAATTTTCCATAGAACTAAAAATGAATGTGAATTATATAAGTGCGAGAAAAACAACTAGGTCCTGAGGTAAAATCCCAAAAAAAAAAACCTGGATTATTATGAAAAATGTATGCAGACACAATTTTGGAATATTAACAACCTTTATTGTAATAATGGGTTTTTTTTTTAAAAAACACCCCAAGGCTGATGATTATACCCTAACATGAAATTTTACTTTCCAACAATTACTTAACGAGCCTCAAAACCACATCGTGTTTATCCGGCCGTGGCTACCGCATTCTTATGAAAAGCTATATATGCACCATAAGCGTTGGCGTGTATATAAAAGCGGTAGAAAAAAAAAAAATTCATCCTAAATAGGGAAAGTTCATCCTATGAAGCATTATTTCACTCGACCTCATCTACACACGTTCATACTCGATCATTGTGACAACTGGGCACAATTTATTATCATCCAACCAACAATGAACCGTTATTAAAATAAAAATTTAATTTAAAATATTTCCTATTTGCAAAAATATAATTATATAACTTCTTTTAATTGTTCAAAAAAAAGGGCGGGGGATTTAAATCACACTTTTAATAAGTTTTGTTTTCTATATGGTTCATGGAAATAGAGAAAAGTTATTCGCAAGCGAGTCACGAGTGGTGACATAATGGTGTAACTGTCGCGTTCATCATTAGTCACTGGTGCATGCGTACTCACGTATTCTGTTAGAATTTAATTAGCGCTCCTTTGCTATTCTACTGTTGAGCCCATGGTACGCTCTTCTCCTCTCGTAATTTATTCATTTTAATTTGTATCATCTTACATCATTCTCGCAAAAAAAGGAGGGAGAGAGTCGAATATCTCTCTAAAGTGCACGTCAATAAAAAAAACCCACCCTTCTATAGAAACATGATGACGAATTTTTTATTTTCTAGACACTAAAAAAAGGAATTAAAAGGGAAAATTAAAAAATTGCAATTATTCAATTTTCACAAGTATCGAATGCAATTTATCTAATGCATTTTCCATTTGAAGAAGACTGGAACCCCTAAATGTAACCCTTCGGATACCTCGTGTTATGGGCTTCCCAAGGACTTGTGTTTCAAGGGGTTGGAGAGATGACTTTCCTTCTTTGTGTGTCCTTGGGGAGCACTATAACCCTCGCCCATCGCAAATGTATTGAATATAAAAGTACCTAAGTAGATAGTTCTTAGAATAACATACAGTACGTTACGAGTGTGTCTATAGAAAATACATATGTAGAGGGGGGAGGGAGGGGGTATTGGAAGATCAAGTTTTTTTTTTTCGACGCAGGGAACGGGATTTACACGCTCTGAACTTTCGCATGTAAACGAATAATAACCACGAATTACGAGAATGGATGTGCCAAAAAATATCCTCTATTTGGATTTTCTCGACCCTTAATATATATTTCTTTTTTTTTCAATATAGGGAAACATGGCTTTGGGTTTTACTATTTTATTACGAGATTTGTAAAAATCCAAACCATAATATAATAACTTTTTCTATTTCATACTTTTTTATCCCCTAATTCCAATTTTTTTTTTTTCAAATTGGAAAATAGAAATTAGAAACGGAAAAAATAAAATGATATTAATCAAATGATTATATGTATATCTAAATTGTAGGAATATTTAGAGGAAATAGATGTAAAATGTGAGTTTATGGATATGCTCGTTGGATCTGTAAATTATTGTCGCCTTTTACGATCTCTCTCTATATACGGTTTCTGTGCCACAGTATATTGATAAGTGTCATCTGTTACTCCGAGGGGTTTATGGCAATTTGAAACATTAATTGCAGATTAAACAGAGGAGAGCCGCTATTGTGGAGTAATTATTCTGCATAATCTCCGTCTGACCACTCAGAGAGATCCTAAACGTTTCTATATGGGGATTTGTCCATCACGGAGAAATGAATTATAGTGTATTCTCGTTTGGTTTTTTAAAAAAAAAAAATATTTCGTAATAACAATTAAATTAATTGAATAATTAAAAGTTTTAAAAAAAACCAAAACTGTTGATTGCATATTAAAGAGAAAGAAAAGAGAAATTTCTCTTTAATTTAACAATATTTAAATAAAGAGTAATAAAAAATTAGAAATAATTGACTCACTTTGAACAGCGCTCGGCTATACTCGATCTGTTTCACCTCCTGCTCCGAAACACTCTCTCTGTTCTTCCGAGAAAATTGTACCTACAAAAAAAAGAATTTTTTAACTAAGAACACTTTCGGTTATTTGAATAAGAATCTAAATATATTATGAGCAATCTTAATTTGTTAATAGAAAAATAATAGTTAAACCTTGAAATTATTTATTTATTCTATTTTATAGGCAAATAGAATATTTTTTTCCAAATAAAAGAAGATTTAAAAGAAGTACAAAAATTGTACCTGAATATTAAAAAAAAAATGTTAAATAAGAATAATTTCTGTTTTTAGAATAAAAACAATCTGAATTTGTTAAAAGAACAATAATTGTTTATTTTTTATTTATTTATTGAAAATAAAATATAACTAGAAATTATTTACTTATTTATTCAAGAAATAAATATTAGAATTTTTTTTTTAAATAAAAGGACGCAATTAAAAAAAATACAAAAATACCTGCACATTATCAGAAAAAAAATAATTTTAATTATAATACTTTTCGGTTTTTATAATAATATTAATAATATTGTAAATAACATTAATAATAATCTAAATATATTATGAGCAATCTTAATTTGTTAATAGAAAAATAAAAGTAAAACTAGAAATTATTTATTTATTCTATTTTATAGACAAATATTAGAATAATTTTTTCCAAATAAAAGGAGATTTAAAAGAAGTACAAAAATTGTACCTGAATATTAAAAAAAAAATGTTAAATAAGAATAATTTCTGTTTTTAGAATAATAAAAATCTAAATTTGTTAAAAGAACAATAATTGTTTATTTTTTATTTATTTATTGAAAATAAAATATAACTAGAAATTATTTACTTATTTATTCAAGAAATAAATATTAGAATTTTTTTTTTTTAATAAAAGGACGCAATTAAAAAAAAATACAAAAATACCTGCACATTATCAGAAAAAAAAAATAATTTTAATTATAATAATTTTCGATTTTTATAATAATATTAATAATATTGTAAATAACATTAATAATAATCTAAATATATTAGGGGTAATTTAATTTTTTTTAACACTTAAAGGACCATTTTTTACCAAATTAAAGAAAGTAATTAAAAAAAAATATATATTTTACGATTGCATTGCTAATGATAGAAAAATTCACAATTATTATTAATATTTGATAAAATAATTATTTAAAGTAAAAGAAAAAGATCAGAATAGTTATAGATTAAAAATAATTGTTAATATACACCAATAATTATTATATAAGAAACGTAAATACTATAAAAAAAAGTATCGATAATTTTGCAAACTTACCATAACCTCAATAGTCTGAAATCCATTGCATCCATCAATTAATTTGCATTTTATACACGATCACTGCTTTACGTTGTCGATTTTCATAAAAATAATTTGAGAATAAAGCACGTTGCTCAAAACTTCTTGTATTGAATCCTCAAGTTGAGGTCATTGACCCTCGAAAATGTAAACATCCCCCTTGTTTGGAGATACAAATAATTTGCGTTGTGTCAATGATTGCTGTAAAGTGTAATTTATTTAGTTAAATTCTCGAAATACTAATGAAAAGAATAATATCACCAACTCAAATTCATTATATTAATCTAAAATAGATAATTCACCAAATTTTACACACAGATATATGCAGACAAAGAATGACAATGAAATTGCAACTCACCTTTTTTTCACGATTAAACGCAATGTAGCTGCAAATCGGATGCCACTTCCTTCACAGATATTCACTGATGTTTTGCAATCTTTGCTAAATATAAATAACATATTTTATAATCAATTTTTCTACTTTATGTAACATTTTTGTTAGGAGTAACGTGAAACTTCTTTTCGCGCTTTTATTCTCTAATGGTGAATTTACAGTACATGAAATGGAGGGAAAATACCAGGGTTGGGTGCGTAGAGCATTGTGCGCAGAAGTCGAACGTCTGGAATGTGACACTACCCAATGACCCATACCTGTCATTTCCCCCTCGAATTAGCGCCAAACAAGTTTTCTTGGCGCCAAATAAAAATTTATTTATTTACTACCAACATAAAAAAATAAAAATGTTTTCTAAATGTGAGAACATTATAAAAAAAAAATTTTTGTGTGAAAACTTTCGATTTTTAAAATAATAATAATTATATTAATAATTAATAATAGTAATAATAAAACTTAAATATAATCTAAATATATAAGAAATTAATTTTTTAATACTGAAAATAACATTTTTTTACCATATAAAAGAACGTAATTAAAAGAAATAAAAAAAATTTCACGATTCCATTTAGAATTATAAAAAAAATTCCTTATTATAAATTATATATTTTAAATAATTGTTAGTACACTTCAAAAATTATTAAATATAAGAAACGTAAATATTAATTATATTAAGAAAAGTGTCAGTAATTTGCAAACTTACCATAACCTCGAAATTCTGGAATCCATCCGTCAATTAATTTGCATTTTATACACGATCACTGCCTTATGTTGTCGATTTTCACATAATTCGAGAATAAAGCACGTTGCTCGGAACTTCTTATATTGAATTCTCAAGTTGAGGTCATTGACCCTCGAAAATGTAAACATCCCCCTTGTTTAACAGATAATTTGCGTTGTTTCATTGCGATTACTGAAAAGCGTAATTTGTTTAGTTAAATTCTCGAAATACTAAAGAAAAGAATAATATCACAAACAAATATCATTAGATTAATAAAAAATCAATAATTCACAAAATTATATATATATAGATATACATGCACGAACGAGAATGTAATTGTAACTCACCTATTTCCACAATTAAACGCAATGTAGTTATAAATCGGATGCCACTTCCTTTGGAGATATTCGCTGATGCTTTTTAATCTTTGCTTCATATTAATAACACATTTTATAATCAATTTTTCTACTTTATAAAGCATCTGTGAGTAACGTGAACTTCCGTTCGCGCTTTTAATCTATTATGGTGAATGTACAGTACACAAAATGGAGGGTGAATACCAGGGTTGGGTGCGTAAAACACTGTGCGCAGAAGTCGAACGTCCGGAATGTGACACTTCCTTATGACTCATCCCTGGCATTTCCCCCTCAAAATCACTACTGTAAATCGAGCCTTATACCAAATTGGCGCCAAACAAGTGATCTTAGCGCCAAAAGAGCAATTGTCACCGTTAGAAATATTTACTGCAAAAAGAAGGAAAAAGAAATATTTTCTAAGTGAGTGCAAATGAAATATCTTTCAAGAATCGGAAAAATCTTTTGTAAAAAGTGCATTGAAACAAATAACGAAAGGAAGAAATGGAAAATATTTGCAAGTTAATTGTCAATCGAGCAGCATGTTTACATATACATCCAAGGGTCAATAACCTGAAATTGAAAATTCAATATAATTTAACAAATTAGGAGCAAATAATACTAAATTGAAATGCAAATTTATTGGCAGACGGATTTCATGCACTTATTTTATAATTGAGGTTATGGTGTCTATATGGAAATTTCTTTTATTTGCCTCGGGAAAAGGTGTCTGGAAAATTATGTAAGTATGAAAATTATTTTCCTTACTACTAATTATTTTTACATTAATAATTATTGAAGTACATTAAGTATATATTGACAATTATAAAAAATGTATAACCTACTATTAATACTATAAAATTTGCAGTACAAGCAATTTTATCTCATAATTTTTGCTTTTTTTTCTGCATAAAAAATTAGGTTATCTTTAATAATAATAATAATAATTTTTTTTGTAGTGTATGTTTATAGTGATAAAATTTTTACATTATATATTCTGGTCTGTAAATTAGTTCTTTTATCTTTTTTCCCCAAAAAAATTGTTAAAATTGCCATTTATACTGTTGGTTAATTCTAAAATAATTTTATTAATAAAATAAATTATTATTATTATTAATTATACTTATTAATATTAATTATGTATTTTAATATTAATTATATTTATTAATATTAATTAGATAAATTAAAATTAATTATATAAATTAATATTAATTATATTTATTAATATTAATGTTTATTTATTATTAATGTTTATTTTGTATTTTTTCTAAATTTTGATAAAGCTAGCAGAAATTTTCTTGGAGTATTTAGATTTAATTAATTTAATTTTGCAAGAATTCCAATTTTTTGGAAATTTAATTTTTAATTTAAAAATAAAAAATACTAAATTTTTACCACTAATTTAATTATGTTGCTATTTGGAAATATTTAACAAATATTTTTTTTTCTAGACAATAGAAGAGGATGAAAGAAGAGATTAAGTCTTTCTAAAGAAAGTTTAAGCTCTGCCATCGGATTTCTGGTGCAACGCCGCGTAAATTCACGATAGTAAGTTTTCTTTTTCACTTGTTAAATTTATGTATACAAAATTAAAAACTATATTTACAAAAGATTTTTGTTACACAAAAACTTGGAATGTTTAATTTTTTTTATTATTTATATTTTATTGGTAATAAATAACAGTAAATTTAATATAGAAAAGAAATTTATTTAACATTTTGTTGATTAATAATTTTATTATATTATTATTATTTACAGATATCTGATATAATGTAAAAAATTAATTATTTACTGAGTTTTTCTTATTTTTTTAGTACATAATAATCTGGAGGGCTGAATGATTTCGACAGAAGTTTTAAGAGGAAAAATCTCTAGGAATGGTCTCTGAAGCTGCGTCAATGTTCTTCAACGTGGGATTCATTGTACGGTGAGTCGATTTTCTCTAATTAAACCAGTTTTATTTTCTTTTAATATTATTATCAAAATGATTATGAAATAATTTCGAAATGAAAAATATGAAATTACTCTATTACTCTATTAAAAATTACAATATAGCTTCTTGCTCTATTTTTTTCCGACGAAATATGTTTAGTTGAAAAATCAGGAACAGAATTTTTATTTCTAAAAATGGGATAATAGTAACCATGATCTCTTCTCTTTCATATATACCCGATCCATATATAGTTTATGTCGAAAATAGGCGCACGTCATACCTATATAGAACCAATGTGCTCTGTGATAATCTGCCAACGCTAACCACGTGTCAGCCTCGATGATGTCTGTCCCGCCAGTCAACGTTTTATTGATGCTTTCAAAACTCTCGTAAATCTCAGCTCTACATCATCCACAAACCGATTTTATTACACCTAACGATATCTGTTTGCTATTTTTTTTTTTAAAAACAATTTTTTTTTTTTCGTAAAATCTATTGATAATATATGCATTAAATTCGTATTTTTTATTCACTAGTAAAATATGATTCTAAAAAAAAATGATATAAAAAAAGTTTTTCCTTTTTAGGAGCGGAAAATAGCTTTTTTTAAAAAAAATGGAAAAGTATATATTCTTTAAGTAAAATTGGAAGTTTTATGCGCGCAATCTTGCTTGAGAGTAATTAAAATGTTAGTCTGGAAAAGACCCTTTTAATTTTCTGGAAGTCTAAGCACGAATACTCCTGGGTTCAGCCAGACTTGGTATCTCGAACGACATCTCGTATTAACACATTCCATTACACAAGCCCATTATGGTGGCTCACTATCGTTACTGATGAGCTCAGGGAGCTGTTGGATGCAGGTATTTTCCCCTAGCGACTTATGGTGTGTCCATCTCATTCTCTCGTTGAAAATCTGACAAAAATTCTTTGTTTTTCAATAATTTCCATTTTATTCCAATTCTATTTTCTTTTTATTTTCCTCGTCGTGAATTTCTATGATTTCAAAAAAAAATAATAATAATAATAGTCAACTTGATTTTCTAATTCCCTAAACAGATATATAAAGTGACTTTTGTCATATATGACAAAAGAATAAACATATATACAACATTGGGTGTCAGTAAATAGAACGCTAGATCCAGATTATCCTATAGAAAGCCTTTTCGATCTCATTCAATCTCGGTCATGGAAAGTATAATATATAGAGAGAGAGAAGAAACAATATATATATATGTATAGAAACGGGGTATGAGTTACGAAAGAGGGAGATTTTCGCGTGTCCCAGGCGCGGAACACTGAGCATTCTAGATGCCACACGGCGGAAGATAACATTTACCCCCGGTATCCAGAAATTCTAATCCCCTTTTCAGACGTCACAAATGTATATATATACGTATATATATATATATATAGTGATCCTTATACACTCGTTCTAGGGAGCAACAGCAGCTGACGAGCGTACAAAAGTTTCTCCTGTCAGCCAAACATTGCGTAGAAAGTACGTACAGCAAACAACAATATTCTCTTTATACCTTTTAGACAACCACTCAACGGAGAAAAAATTTTTTTTTTTTTTTTCGTTTTTTATTCTTATTATATTCGTTTTTTCGTCTGGAAAAAATTTAAGTAAAAAAAACAAAACAAAAAAAAATTGTAAATCATATTGAGAGGAAAATTTCTAATTATTTTATCCTCTCAAAAGAAGAATATTTTCGTTCTTCTTATATTGAGAGGAAAATTTCTAATTCTGTCCTCTCGAAAGAAGAATATTTTCGTTCCTTTTTTTTCCAAAATGGAGATTTCTCTCTCCGATTTAATAGGAATTATTTATTATTTATTTATTATTATTTATTATTAATTTTTAGTAATTTTTAACAATTTTTAATAACAATTATTATATTATTACACTGAAAAAAATTTATTTGATTGAAGTAATCGGTTACTTGACTATTAAATAAATATTTATTACAAATAAATATTTTTCTACTTCTTCTTCTTCTTAAATGACTTGTGGCGTAGCCGAGTGTCAAATAATAATTAATTATTATTAATTAATTATAATAAATAATTATTATTTGAGTCAATTAAATGGTATTTTTCCGAATACAGAAATTATTGGTTAACAATTTTGAATAACAATTATTATATTATTATTATATTATAATAGTTAAGTAACCGATAATTTGAATGAAATAAATTTTTTTCAGTTTATTATTATTATTATTATTATTTAATATTATGATTACTATAATAATACCTATTAATTTTTACATATTCATATTTCGAATGTAATGCAATAATTTCTTTTTTTCGTCTGGAAAAAATTTAAGTAAAAAAAACAAAACAAAAAAATTGTAATCATATTGAGAGGAAAATTTCTAATTACTTTATCCTCTCAAAAGAAGAATATTTTCGTTCTTCTTATATTGAGAGAAAAATTTCTAATTCTGTCTTCTCGAAAGAAGAATATTTTCGTTCCTTTTTTTTCCGAAAAGGAGATTTCCCTCTCCGATTTAATAGGAATTATTTATTTATTATTATTTATTATTAATTTTTAGTAATTTTTAATAATTTTTAACAATTTTTAATAACAATTATTATATTATTACACTGAAAAAAATTTATTTGATTGAAGTAATCGGTTACCTGACTATTAAATAAATATTTATTACAATTTAATATTTTTCTTCTTCTTCTTCTTAAATGACTTGTGGCATAGCCGAGTGTCAAATAATAATTAATTATTATTAATTAATTATAATAAATAATTATTATTTGAGTCAATTAAATGGTATTTTTCCGAATACAGAAATTATTGTTTCAAATACAGTTTATTTAATTCAAATAAAAATTATTTGGTTCAAGTAAATATTTATTTGATAATAGTTAAGTAACCGATAATTTGAATGAAATACATTTTTTCAGTGTATTATTATTATTATTATTATTATTATTATTATTATTATTATTATTATTTAATATCATGATTACTATAATAATACCTATTAATTTTTACATATTCATATTTCGAATGTAATGCAATAATAATAATATTAAAAATAATTATGATAATAAAAAAAATTGAAGTGCTTGAAACCGGGAAGCGTTTGTTAATAGGAACACTATTGCGAGGTACATTCTAGATTTTATATTCGACATAGGGTTCGGTGACGGACAACAATGAAAGGATTATTTTATAAACACGAGCCCCACAGCGTGAGTAAC